TTGGTTGCAGCCGTCATTGTTGTTTGGCGGGTCCGGGCTGGGGATTCGAACCCGCCACCTTAGGTGTATGTGGCTGGCGCCCTAGCCGGTTGAGCCACAGGCGCCGAGCCCAAGCTACACTTTCAAACCCAGTCACTTTCTTTGACTATTTTAGTTTATAATGATTTTTCCCCCCTTTCCACTTCTAAACATATAGCCTACCCCAATTGCTTTAGCCCTAAATCATACACTTATACTTAACCGTTGGTGCTTGATGAATGGAGTACAGATGGAACGAACTTTAGATAACATTTAATTCAGCAGCTCTTTAACCTCTGGCAAGTCCCCTTCCATATGGCTGCCTCTTGGGGAATACTGACAGGCTGCTATGCCTCAAAGTGTGGCCATTTCGCCTTGAATTGCTCGTATAATTAGAGGCATCCACTGTTTTTTTTTTTTTTTAGAGACGGAGTCTCATTTTTTCACCCTCGGTAGAGTGTTGCGGCATCACAGCTCATAGCAACCTCCAGCTCTTGAGCTTAGGTGATTCTCTTGCCTGAGCTTCCTGAGTAGCTGGGATTACAGGTGCCCGCCACAATGCCTGGCTATTTTTTTGTTTTAGTTTGGCCAGGGCCAGGTTTGAACCTGCTACTCTCTGCATATGGGGCCGGCACACTACTCATTGAGCCACTGGCGCCACCCCTGTGTTTTGTTTTGTTTTTTTTTTCTGAGACAGAGTCTCACTCTGCTACCAAGATAGCTAGCATCAGCCTAGCTCATAGCAACCTCACGCTCCTGGGTTCAAGCAATCCTGTCTCAGCCTCTGAGTAGCTGGGACTACAGGTGCCCACCACAATGCCTGGCTAGATTTTCTTTTTTTCTTTTCTTTTCTTTCTTTCTTGTCTGTCTCATTATGTCGCCTTCTGTAGAGTGCTGTAGCGTCACAGCTCACAGCAACCTCAGACTCTTAGACTTAAGTGATTCCCTTGCCTCAGCCTCCCAAGTAGTTGGGACTAATGGCACCCACCAAAATGCTGGCTATCTTTTCATTGTGGTTGTCATTGTTGTTTGGCAGGCCTGGACTGGGTTCGAACCCACCAGCTCTGGTGTATGTGGCTGGCGCCCTAGCCGCTGAGTTACAGGCGCTGAGCCTATTTATTTATTTTTATTTTATTTTTTTGAGATAGAATCTTACTCTGTTGCCCTGGATAGAGTGCCATTGCATCATAGCTCCCAGCAACTCCAAACTCTTGGACTCAAGCGATCCTCTTGCCCCAGGATCCTGAGTAGATGGGACAACAGGCCTGGGCCAAAACGCTCCACTATTTTTAGAGATGGATCTTGCTAGTGTGTCTTGAACTCCTGAGCTCAAGTGATCCTCTTGCCTGGGCCTCACAGAATGCTGGGATGACAGGCACAAACCTCCATGCCCAGCAGAGACACCTGCTTTTTAAGGAAGGAAAACCCCATTCATCCCGGTCTAATCAAGTATAAATTTGATGCCTAACAAAAATGAAAAATTAAAAAAAATTAAAAATTCTAGCTGGGAGTGGCGGCTCCCACCTGTAATCCTAGCACTCTGAGAGGTCGAGGCAGGAGCATCTTTTGAGCTCTGGCGTTCCAGACCAGTCTGAGCAAGAGTGAGACCCTTGTCTATACAAAAAATAGAAAACATAGCCAGGGTTGTGGTGATGCGTGTAGTACCTGCTACTTCTGCTGAAGCAGGATAGTTGGACCCAAGAGTTTGAGGTTACTGTGAGCTACGATGACACCTCTGTATTCTAGCCTGGGCAATAGAGTGAGAATCAGTCGCAAAAAATAAAATAAATAAATAAATTCCTCTGCTAGCCTATCTGATTTGAGATTTCTGAGTCCAATTTAAAACCCTCCAGGCCATCCACGGGCAGACTAGATTAAGCAGGGTCTGCAAATCTGCAGTGTCAGCGTCACCTGGCAGCTGGTTAGAAATGCAAATTCATGAGCCTAGACCCACTGAATTTGAAATTCTGAGGGTGGGACCCAAGAATGTGAGTTACAGAAAGTTTGAGGACTGCGTTGCCCATATGAAATGGAAAACAGCTGGCCACTCAGGGTATCTTTGCATAACAAAAAACGGTTAGTGTCAGTAGGCCACCTTTTCTTCAGTTGAGTAATCTCTACACTCCTAGCTCAGTTTGTTTTTCCAGCCATCGAGTCATCCACATATTCCACCTTTGTCAAGCAGGGGAGGGTACAGTTATATAGGAGGGTCCTACATGCTTCCAGAGGAACAGAGAAAAACAGCTCCCGGCGACCGCATGAAAAACTCAATTTTAAAACAGCCACGTGAAGTTTAATTTCCTTAAATGCTTAGCCGGAAAAGGGTTTTGCGGTGTGCGACCCCAGCTGGGCCCGAGGTTCTGCACTTTGGGGCGGGGATGGGCATTAGGCGCTCTGAGGATGACTCGCAGTTGCGTTTTGAGTCGTTGGCTTGTGTTCGTCTTATCCCTCCAGCTCACGCGCGCACACAGTTTTATTTTGTCATGAAGGGGGAACCCTATATTTTGTAGACAAAATAGTCACAGAAGCAACTTTCGAAGCAAAAAAAAAAAAATAAGAGAAAAAAACAAAACGAAAACGCTGTTTGTCCCTCAGTAACTCAGCAACGGGGGGACGGGGCTGCCAGAGTCCTCTGCGGTTTTCCTTGCACTTCTCCACGTAGGTGCACTGCCCCCTCGACACGCTCCCGGAGTGAAGGGTCGTGGGGGGGGGCGGCCTCAGCCCCGGGCCGCCCTCTGTGCGCGGGGCCCGGCTGCAGGGGTCCCGGTCCCGGTCGCGGTCAGCCCCTTCCTCCCCCGGCCGCCGAGCAGGGGCGGGTCCACGCGGCGGCGGCGGCGCTGCGGCCGGCGGGCGGGCGCTAGGGGTCGCTGCGGCGCGGCGCGCGCTCACACGGCGCCGAGGAACCGGGCCGGGCTGGAGGAGAAAGGAAGCCTGCGGGGGGAGGCGGCGGCGGCCGGCGAGCGGGCGACGGAGGAGAGTTCACTTCCACTCGGTGTCAGCGCGCTGCGGCGGCGGCGGGTGCTGGCGGGAGCGCCGAGGGAGAGGGTTGCCCGTCTAGGAGCGGCCGGGGGGAGGAAGCCAGAGGCTGGTTCGCAGCGCGCCGGCGGGGCGCGGAGCCCGCGAGGCTGGCCAGCGAGGGGAGCCGCGGGGGGCGCGCCCCAGACGGGCCCCCGGAGAAGCGCAGGATGCCCCACGAGGAGTTGCCGTCGCTGCAGAGACCCCGCTATGGCTGTAAGTGCGCGGGGCGCGCGGGGCTCCCGCCGGGCTGGGGGAGCCCCCTCCCCGGAGGACCGCGCTGGAGAAGCCGAGGGAGCTGGTGCGCGCCACGGAGGGACCAGGAGGGCAGCTGGCAAAGTTGGGAGCCAGAGTTGCCCAGGGCAGTGAACGGCGTCCTGCCGTTATCCTCGGCGTATTTCTTATCCCCAGCTAGCAACCCTGACCTTTTACCCCGCAAACCCCAACGAGGCGCGGGAGCTGCGCTCTGGGACAGACCTGGTTGGGGTTTTAGGGCTATCAGGTGAGGAGCCCGCAGAGCTCCAGGCCGCTGCCGGCTCGGGCCAGGGGGTGGCGTTAGGGAACGAATTCCTCCTACTCAGAAGGGCTAGAAAGTTTGCTGTGGCTACAGGTGGGCACGCAAGCAGTGGGTCCGCGCATTGTGCTAGTGGCAAAGTTGGCTTTACTGGAAGGGCAGGCGTCTTCTCCTGTCCCGCTGCCTCGGACTTCACTAGAGCTGCTAGAGCCAGTTTTGGCCGCACAGATGTAAGCCCCTTCCTGCTGAACCCCCCAACCCCTTTCCGCCCCCAGCGTGCAGGAAAATTGCCCAGGGAGAGGATGCGGCGCGGGGCTCCTGGGGATTCGGTTGGAGCCCGCATGACTTGAGCGATATGGTGTCCAGGAGCTGGCCTTGGAAAGAGGTTGCTTTGGCCGACCGACCGTGAGTGGATGGAGCCAGATTAGCACCAACCACGTGCCTTCGTGTGCAGAGTTCAGAGTCCTACACATGTGCCAGGAAGTATTTCCTTTAAAACAAACAGAAAGTTGGCTTTCTGTCTCCGGGGTTGGCCCTGTCAGTGAACCTGTGGCCAAGGACTGCAGGGTCATCTTTTGCCCAGGCTGGCCTTGGTGGCAGAGGAGCCAGGTTTGGATTAAGGTGGTATTACCTGCAGAGGGGATTTTTCAAGAGAGAGAGAGAGAGAGAGAGAAAAGGAGTCAACTTGTTATTAGTTCTTTTCCCTGCCCAATGGAGTATCAGAGATGGAAGTTAGTTTTCCTGTGTGACCCTTTTGGTGTCCTGCAGTGAGGAGCAGGCCGGAGGGGTACAACTTCTGTACTCTTAAGGAAAGGCGTTCAGCAGTTGACTGGGGCCCAGTTTTGCAGCCTTAAATAGTTTGCAGTGTGGTAAACCACACTGACAGCTTGAGCTCCTTGGGCTGGAGGATGCCCTGGGCTCACCCAGTGTTTGCATTGTCAGCCGCAGATTGGTGGAAGTACCTTAATGTGACAGGCTTTCAAAGTGTGGTAGCTACACTGTGTCACATGATAAGAGGACCACTACCTCTGGAAACTAGGTGAAAGTATTAAAAAACCGTTTGTTGCTATCACGTGATCATGGTTAACCCTCATTAGCCATCCTGTAGTACAAAATTTTGGTGAGTTTGGTGCATTAGTGCAGCATGAACATCAGTCCCCAAAGGTGCATTTGTGATGTGGCCTGATTTTGTTGACTGTCTGTGGTTTTAGTGCACAGAAGAAGCACTCAAGGGGGGTTGAGGTCTGGCAAGTCTGAAGCCCACTCCATGGGGCCACTATCTTTGAAAATGAGCCTTGGTCCAGCTTTTCCTCACTGGTCTGGTGTGTGGGGGTGTGCCATCTTGTTGGAATCACTCCCACTTACCTTGCCTCAGCTCATCAAGTGCTGGCATTTATTGGTTACTTAACATAATAAAAAACACCCTAAAATATTAAAGCTTTAATATGGTAGTCTGTGATGTTGCTAAAATGAACATTTTTACAATTTTGATACCAGTTTCGTGAGCGGTGTACGTTCACGGTGCATTTAAAACATGCTAGCCAGCAGAATATGCAAGGATATAACTTAAGTGTTAATAGCCACTGCCTGACGTTGCCTGTTTGTGCAGAAGGATGATTTGGTGCGTTAGCATTAATTTCTGGTGGGTGCTGGCTTTGTAGGTCTATCAACATGAGACTGAAAATAGTACTGCGAGTTCTCACAGGGAGGCTAGAATTGTCCTTGCTCTGTTTCATTCCAGGGCTGTGTTTTTCTTGTCTATTGGTTTTGTAAGTACTGGTTCAGTAAAACCTCAATCTATACCAAACAAGCTTTATCCTCAACATTTAAAAATAAAATACCAATACATTGCTGTATTGTGTGAACGTTCTAAGATGTTTTGATACTGAGCTTTAAAAACAACTTTTTAGTAGTTCGAATTACGCTGTTACACTTGTTTCTGTCTGGGCTCCCCAACCCCCTCCCCCCCATTGTCATTTAATTTGGTAATTCTTATACAAAGTAGCAAACAACTCAGCTCTGGGCTTTTACAATATTTCCCCTCTCTACCAGGCTGTCTGTAAAATGCCTCATAATAAGTTGTACTTGAGGGATTTCTCAATGAGTTCCCCATGAAGGCTGTGACCCTTCTCAGATTTCTGACAGGCATGAGATTGCTGGAGTTGTCCTGGTTTGCACACAGGAGCACTGAATGAGATAGACTGTTCAATTCTGCCTATTGTTGGTCATGTTTTCCTGCACTCTGCGACATTATTTTGTGTAATATTAATGCAGAATGAAGCTGAAATACCGGCTCGGTAATCAATTCTGGAGGGAAGAAGCGGAAGAAAAGTCAGTGGCTGCCGTACTAATGTAGACAAAGTATATACAGAATATCCTCTTATGCTCAAAACCACATTTAAATGACTTCTTTTAAAAGTTATTGATTTGCAAATAACTTGTGCTGTTGTAACCAACTGATGCATTTGCCAAATTAATTCTGAAAACATTTTGCCACCATGATCTCTTAAGTTTTGTTCGAGCTACTTGAGTTAAAAAGACCAGTGAGAGCAGTTTGCACCCAAACAGATGAGTTCATTCACCACTGGTAATCCAGCATTTACGTCTCTGCTGTCCATCCCTGATGATTGGTACCAGTGGTTGTGTGTGACAAGGTTTTCTACCTCCTGCAAGATCCAGAGCCTTCCTGTCACTAGACACATTATAAAAGTATTAGTGATTAATGTTTTTCTGTTCGCTTCTTTTAAAAAGTGCAGCATAAACCCCATGGGGGTGTGTGTTGAGGGAAGAAGATTCTAGCTGATGCTCTGAGCTTTTTGAGTGATGCTCTCGTCTGAAGGGTGGGGTGTCTAAATCACCTGGTAACAGGGGGTGGTCTTTGCAGCTAAACCCTTATCCCTTTACAGTGACGGTTCTAAGATGGAGAAACTTAAGTTCTGAATGATTTAAAGACAGTTGTGTTAAAACAGGATTGAATATGTTTGTGTGGTTAGCATAGTTCGGCTCCGACAATCTCTCACTGCTTTCACCTGAACCGCAGAAGACTCTGTGCAAAGTAGCCAAGTGATGCTGCCTTCAGACAGAAAGCCAGGCTCCTCCTCGTGTGCCAGGGTTTTGGTGGAGTTTCTCTAAAGGACCTTTAAGGTCAACAGCTAAAGTGTTATTTTAGTATGCTTTTAACTTTAATTACACATGCCGTTAGCTAAAATGACTTGTTTGGGAGAGTTTAAGCTTGTAATACTGAGTTTGTTTTAGACTTTAATGTTATTTGGGGTGTTAGCTAAAACCCCTTTTTCTCTAGGGAACCAGTGATTTTTCTATTGCCCGGACCCTCCCACTCCTTTTAGCAGTTCCTTTTATTTAAATGGATAGTGTACAAACAAATCTAATGCTTACCACGTTTTCATGGTAACCGAAAGAGAAAGAAAGGCCATTCAGCTTGGGCTTTGGTAGGGTCAGGTAAGTGCTGCAGGGCGGACACTTCACCATGGCCTATGGATTCAGGGTCTGGGACCTCGCCAAGTGCTGAGTGCTTTTCGTGCACTGCTGATTATTTCGTAACCTGCTGATTATTACCTTTGAGAAGGCCAGTGGTTTCCCCATTTCACAAAGAAGGTGAAACCCATGATGCTGTCTGAAGGCCACACAGCTGGCTGGTGGCAGGGGAAGCTAGGAAGCAGTACTGCCAGGCCCCAGATCCGCTCTCATCAACTGTCACCAGTTTGCCTCCCCATGTATCCCAGAGGCTTCATCCCTGCTTTTTATCATTTTCAGCTGTTTGTCATGATTCACACCTATCGCATTCTGGAAGGCCAAGGTGGGAAGATTCCTTGGGGCCAGGAGTTCAAGATCAACCTGAGCAAGAGAGAGATCCCCATCTCTGCTAAAAATAGAAAAATTAGCTGAGCATTATGGCAGGTGCCTGTAGGCCCAGTTACTTGGGAGGATGAGGTAGGAGGATCACTTGAGCCCAGAATTTTGAGGTTGCTAAGAGCTAGGCTGACACCACAGGACTCGACCCAGGGTGACAGAATGAGACTCTATATCAAAAAACAAACAAGGGGACGGCATCTGTGGCTCAAAAGGGTAGGGTGCCAGCCCCATATGCCGGAGGTGGCAGGTTCAAACCCAGCCCCAGCCAAAACAAAACAAAACAGTAAAATGCAGAAACCTGTAGCCATTTGGATACCTTGCTCTTTTAAAAATAGATGCATGATATTCTTTAAAGTTGATCCTGCTGCTTTATTTTTCCCCTTGAAAAAATGTAAATACATGGGCTTTTTTTTTTTTTTTTTTTGAGACAGAGCCTCAAGCTGTCCCCGTGGGTAGAGTGCTGTGGCATTACAGCTCACAGCAACCTCCAACTCCTGGGCTCAAGCGAGTCTCCTGCCTCCACCTCCCAAGTAGCTGGGACCACAGGTGCCCGCCACAACGCCCGGCTATTTTTTAGTTGCAGCCATCATTGTTGTTTGGCGGGTCCAGGCTGGGGATTTGAACCCGCCACCTTAGGTGTACGTGGCTGGCGCCTTAGCCTGTTGAGCTATAGGCGCCGAGCCAATACGTGGGCTTTTTATAGACTACATCCAGACATCATCAAAGGATTTTATGTATACATAGAGACAAACCATCTCTCACTGTGAGTCACTGAAGTGAAAAGAAAGGCTTTTCCATTATAATATAGTGGAATGTGCCAGTGATTCCA